TCAGGAGAGATGCTGTCACGGACTCACAGGTCGTGCCCACTCTTGGCCCCGTGCGGTCCGTGGGGGGTGCCCCTTTTAGTGAGACAGCCCTTCTCGGGGGTCCACTCTCTCTCGGGGTCCGGCCCCTCCACCTCCTAGAGCCGCACCTCTCTGAGCCTTAGCACGTCTGTCTCTGCCGTGGGCCCCCTCAGGGAGTCCCCTCGCTCTGGACCCCCCGGGGCCTCCACCCCCGAAGGGGTTGATGCAACCCTGTTCTCTAGACCGGAGTGACTCTCAGCCAGTGTAAAACAGAAGGGTTTATTGAGAGTTGAACACAGCACAGGAAACTCTCTGACCCTCAGGCCTGGCCTCCCTCAGCCCAGCACATCCCAGTCTCCCTGCATCCAGGTGGGCTCAGCCTGCTTCCCCTCTCCAGCCCAGAGCCCCCCTGCTCGCCGCTGGGCATCCGAGATCCCCGGCCCCAGGCCCCGCCTCTGTCCATTGTCTTCCCTCCAGGTAAACAGGGTCGTAAACCGGGGCCTCCTCTCCTGCTTCTCCCTCTGGCTGGAACCGGCTGGTTAGGTCACTGGGTCCTCACTCTGCAGCCCATTGTCCTCTCACTGGCCAGAACCGGCTGCGTCTCCTCAGCTGGGCCTCTGGGTCACCAGGTCGCCAGGTCACCGGTCGTTGGGGTATCCATCCTCCCGGCCACCGGCTGGGTCCCCACGTCCTCTCTCCGGTCCTCTGCAAAACACACTCCCTCTCCCCTCACCTCGTTAAACCAGTAACACCCAGGGAAACTGAGTCCCACCCCCTCCGCATGCAAACCCTTGAAACTCCACAGAAAACAAGAAAACCCCCCACTTTGTCACAGATGCACATGCCTGATTGGGGGAAAACACATTTTACAAAACTTAACTTTACCATCTTTCTCACCCACAGCTATGTATTTGCTTAAAATACAAAACAGGATGGATAAAAATCAATGATTTAAAAAAAATAAAAAAATCGGATTTTTTTTATTTAAATTGAATTATTTTTGATAAAATGCTTTTTGAGGAAAAAATCTATCTAAAAATTGTTTTAATTAAAATACATTATAGCCCCAAAATATCTCATCGTGGAATAGGGATTATAAATTCTAATTCTATAGTATGAGACAATATATTCATGTAATGTTAAGAAAAGTTTTGTAAATGAGTTCCAATAACGAATGGCATTATTATTATTAGTTAAACTGGAAAAGATGGGGATCAATATGAAAATTGAAAGGTGGCTAAGGAACTGGTTAAAGGGGAGACTACAACGGGTCATACTGAAAGGTGAACTGTCTGACTGGAGGGAGGTTACTAGTGGAGTTCCTCAGGGATTGGTTTTGGGACCAATCTTATTTAATCTTCTTATTACTGACCTTGGCACAAAAACTGGCAGTGTGCTGATAAAGTTTGCGGATGACACAAAGCTGGGAGGTATTGCCAATACAGAGAGGGACCGGAATATCATACAGGAAGATCTGGATGGCCTTGTAAACTGGAGTAGTAGAAATAGGGTGAAATTTAATAGTGAAAAGTGCAAGGTCATGCATTTAGGGATTAATAACAAGAATTTTGGTTATAAATTGGGGACGCATCAGTTGGAAGTAACAGAGGAGGAGAAGGATCTCGCAGTATTGGTTGATCACAGGATGACTATGAGCCGCCAATGTGATGTGGCCGTGAAAAAAGCTAATGCGGTCTTGGGATGCATCTAGCGAGGTATTTCCAGTAAAGATAAGGAGGTGTTAGTACCGTTATACAAGGCACTGGTGAGACCTCATCTGGAATACTGTGTGCAGTTTTGGTCTCCCATGTGTAATAAGGATGAATTCAAACTGGAACAGATACAGAGAAGGGCTACTAGGATGATCCGAGGAATGAAAAACCTTTCTTATGAAAGGAGACTCTAAGAGTTTGGCATGTTTAGCCTAACCCAAAGAAGGCTGAGGGGAGATATGATTGCTCTCTATAAATATATCAGAGGGATAAATACCAGTGAGGGAGAGGAATTATTTAAGCTCAGAACCAATGTGGACAGAAGAACAAATGGATATAAACTGGCCATCAGGAAGTTTAGACTTGAAATTAGATGAAGGTTTCTAACCATCAGAGGAGTGAAGTTCTGGAATTGTCTTCCAAGGGTAGCAGTGGGGCAAAAGACATATCTGGCTTCAAAATGGGATAGCCTAATTTTGACAATTAATTGATCTGTGACTATTAGCGGTAAATACACCCAATGGCCTGTGATGGGATGTTAGATGGGGTGGGATCTGAGTTACTACAGAGAATTCTTTCCTGGGTGCTGGCTGGTGAGTCTTGCCCACATGCTCAGGGTTTAACTGATTGCCATATTTGGGGTCGGGAAGGAATTTTCCCCCAGGGCAGATTGGCAGTGGCCCTAGGGGTTTTTCACCTTCCTCTGCAGCATGGGGCACGAGTCACTTGCTGGAGGATTCTCTGCACCTTTACGTCTTTAAACCATGATTTGAGGACTTCAATAGCTCAGACATAGGTTAGGGGTTTATTACAGGAATGGGTGGGTGAGATTCTGTGGCCGGCATTGTGCAGGAGGTCAGATTAGACGATCATAATAGTCCCTTCTGACCTTAAAGTCTATGAATCTATGAATCTATCTGTCCTTTGTTTCCCCTCTGGATGGAACCAGCTGGTCAGGTCACCAGGGTTCTCTCTCCAAAGCCCATTGTCCTCCCAATGGCCAGAACCGGCTGTGACTCCCGAGCTGGGCCTCCCGGTCACCAGTTGCTGGGGTATCCATTCTCCAGGCCATTTGCTGGCTCCCTGTAACATCAAACTCCCTCTCCCACCACCTCGCTAAACCAGTAACACCCAGGGAAACTGGGTCCCACCCCCTCTGCATGCAAACCATTGAAAAAATAAAACAAAAAATCCTGCTTCATCACACCCGCTCAGCTGCTCTCCACGGCTCTTGCCCAGCCCCAAACTGGGGCTGATCACTGGAGGTGGAGCAAACTCACCGACTGAAAACTTCCTGTTGTACGAGATCTGCTTAGCAACCAGCCTCCCAGCACAGCCACTGATGCCCACATGCAGGGGCACAGAGCTGATGTGCCGCTGGCCTGGGGCAGAGTGGGCCAGGGTCTGGCTGGGAGAGCGGGCCAGAGTGGGAGTCTCAGGAGGGCCTGGCCATCAGGGCTGGCCTCAATGCATCTAGGGGGTGCTGCGTTTCTTTTAGTTATAGGTTTTTCCCAGACACTTCTGCAGCTCAGCACAGGGTGACAGAGCCCTTAAAAAAACAACCCCTGTGCCCCACCCCAGATTCAGCGGCATCTCAGCTCTTAAATCAAAGGCTGGAGACAGCGACCTCTGGAATCCAGCTGCCTCTCCTGAGACCCACTGACCCATCTCTCATCACTAGGGAATCCTCAGTGACCCGGGACCTGGGAGGTGTTTGAGGAACCGAGAGACAGAAAACAAACATCTGCGCTCAATGGACCAGTTCCGATCTGCTGACGTTTCCCCTGGTAAGAGACTCCAGAGGCGAAATACCCATGTCCCAATTCCCCCATCCCACAGCCAGTCCCCCCCATAGTGGGATCAGAAGCCGTCTGTCCGTGGGAGCTGGCCTGTATCTGTGACAATCTCTCTCCTTGCGTTGATGGCACCGAGATCTCCAGCCAGTGGATCCAGGTTGAGCAAGACATTCTAGGGCCGTGTTTCTCAAATGCGGCTTTTCCTGCGGCCAGAGCCTCCTGGGTGGTTATTGGGGGGTCAAAGCAGAGGCCCCTCCCCTGAGTCCACCAGCAGGGGTTTGGCCCTGCCCCTCTGGAGACACAAACACTGGAGGAGCAGAGGCAAATGAGTTCCCCACCTTCCCAGGGGTGGTGGAGTCGGTCTTCAGCCCTGGGGTGGTGGGCTCCAGCTGTGGGGTTTTGGGCTCTAACTCCGGGCCCCGGGGTCTGTCCCTGGGCCCCGTCCCATGGGTTTTGGGCTCTTTCTCCTGGCCACACAGTGGAGGGCTCTGGCCCTTGATCCTGGCCATGCAGCAGTAGGTTCTGGCCCCAGGCTTATCCCCATATCACCCCTGGCCCCCACTGCCTCCCTACCCACCTCCCCATCCGGGGCTTAATTTGTCCCCTGCACTTCCAGGGCTGAGTAAGTCTGCTGGAAAAAAGGATCCGTGTATGTTTGTCCCTTTTCACAGCAGACTTAGGAGCTAGTTGGGAGGCTGTGAAAAGCTCAGGGGCCGACTCTGTGGGTGCCCCCGGGCTGGAACACCCATGGGAAAAAATAGTAACAACAACAAAAGACAGGAACGTTCAAAGCACCTTATTTGTGTTTCTAGTCTGTATATGTCCAGGAAAGAATAGAGTGAACTGAACATTATTTTTATTATTGAGTCGGCAAAACCCCCTAAATACATGAATGACAATGATTTCGACATGGATCTGTGCATATTGCTTCGTTTTTCCTAAAGTTAATTCAATATTTTAGGCTTTAGTATTTAGGAAGAATTCTCTGAGCAGCCGCCAGTGGGCTCTTTGCAGCCGCCCCACCCCAGAGGCGAACGCATCTCAGCTCCAGGTAAGTGATTAGTATCTGCAGCATGTACAATATGATAAGAGGTGCAAACTGCTAGTTGTAAAATATGGTTTTGTAACTGGAGATAGCAGTAATAAAGGGTTAGAGCCGATGCAGGGGCTGGGCAACCCACCACTACTGGGTTCTATCCCTGGCTCTTGGAGGTGAGGGGAGTCTGGCAGGTTAGAGTAGTGGGGCTGGAAGCAAGGACTCCTGGGTTGTATCCCAGCTCTGGGAGGGGAGTGGGGGTTCGGGGGGCTCAGAGTCTGGACTCCTGGGTTCCATCCCCACAAGCAATATGCAGCCTGCCCCTGTTGCAGGGAAGCCTCAGGCAGCCCCTGCCACAGGGAGGGGAAGATGGCAGGATGCTGATTCTGGGGTTTCTGAGAAAGCATCTCCCCCCAATGGCCCCTGCCAGCGCCCACTTCTGCTTTCAGGTTCCTGTGCATGCTGCTTCCCCACGCTCTGAGTCACAAAGCCTGGGGAACCTGGACTGCAAGGTCGGAGAGCCAGGAGCTGAGCCCCCCCTGCAGGTCTAGGGGTGAGTGGAAATAGGGGTGAGGGAGCTGGAAGGTCTGTGGAGACTGGGGTGCCCCTCAATCCCGACCCGCAGCCCCTTGCTATCCCAGCCCTGGGCTCTGCTCCCCCACAGCTCTGCTTGCGCTCCTCAAGTCCGAGCAGAGTCCTGCCCCAGGGCTCCTCCACCATGGGGACCACACTGGAGGCATCGGCTCAGGGGGCCATGTAGAACGGGGGTTCCCCAGCTCTCATCTCTCAGCCTCCTTCCCGAGAACACCTGAGGGCATCACCCATAGTACAATTGCGCTCACTCCATTGCTCCCCATGGTGTTGGGTCAGCACAAAGTGTGGGGGGGTACAGACCCCCTGGGGCTCCCAGATACTCTGTGGGGGCAGGGCATCCCCCCAGGGATGCCGATGGAGTCTGGATCTCTCGGGGCCGGTGGAGTCCCCCACTGTCCAACTTCCCCTCCAGCCCTGGGCAATGGGGCCCATCCCACCCTGCTCTGGCAGGGGATGGTGCATGGGCCATGCGGGAATCCAAGCTGAGACCTGCCCAGCCCACAGCAGTGGATGGGGGAGAGGGAGGCAGGAGTGAGAGGCCCATACCATTTTAACAGGTAAAGACAGGGGGAAGGTGTGAGTGGCCCAACTCACATGCGAGGAGGGGAAAGGAGGGAGTGGTCCCTACCATTCTCACAAGAATGAAGAGGATGGAGGGTCCGTAACACTGACAAGGAGGAGAGTCCCAGCTGCAGAAGGAGCAGGGTGGAGTGGGGGAGGGGCTAAGGCAGCTGTGGGGCAGGGAGGGCAGCATTAGCGCCCCACCCTGTTTGCAGAGGGGGAAGCCATGAGCTCTCTGCAGCACACACCCCCGGGATGATTTACCCACATCCAGTTCCACTGGGTCCCTGCAGAACCAGCCCCTCACCATGTGGGGGCGACACCATCACTGGGGGGGGGGGGGGGGCTGAGCCAACGGGCTGCAAACAACGGGGTGTTTGGAGGCAAAGCACAAATCTGTGGATTTTAAAAGCCAATCTCAGGATTTTGAAACCTTTTTCAGCCAATCACATGATTCTTAGAGGAAATCTCTAATCTCAGAATTTATAAGTGAATTTCGGATGGGGGGGTTGCCGATGTCATGACCTTCACATTAAATTTCAGGATTTTTTAGCGAATCCTGGAATCACAGACCCACAGGGTGAGAATGGACCGCAGGGGTCACCTAGTCGAATCCCTGCCAAGATGCAGGATTTCTTTGGTCTAACTCATCCTAGAGAAATACTGTCCAGCCTCCTCTCGAAACCCTCCAGTGAAGGTGCTTTCATGACCTCCATGGGCGTCTGGTCCATTGTCCAACTGCTCACAGTTGTCCCTCGTCCTGCCCTCTGGGGTGAGAGAGAACAATCTTCTTTATGGCAGCCTTTCCAGTATTTGAAAACCACGATAATGTCCCCTCCCACCCTGCCAATTTCTTTTCCAAACTAACCAAACCCAGTTCCTTCAGGCTGTGCCCCTAGGGGTTCCATTCCATCCCTTTGATCATCTGCATCCCTCGTCTCTGGATCCTTTCTCTACAGCCTTTCTATACATTGGTGACCAAAACTGGACACAGTCCTCCAGCTGAGGCCTAGCCAGTACCGAGTAGAGCAGTACTGTCATTTCCCGTGACTTGTATGCTCTGTGTCTGTTAATGTAATCTAAAATTGCATTTGTTGAGTTTTTTTGCAACAGTGTCACATTGCTGACTCATGTCAAGGCTGTGATATGCCATAACTCCCAGATCCTTTTCAGCAGTGCTGCTGCCAAGCCAGTTCTTCCCAATCCTGTATTTGTGCATTTGGTTTTTCTTCTCTAAGTGGAGTACCTTCCATTTCCCTTGATGAATTTCATTGTGTCATCTACAGCCTAGTTCTCCAATTTATCGAGGTCCCTCTGAGTTTTAGCTGCATTCTCCCAAAGTGTTGGCAACCCCTACAGCTTTGTGTCATCTGCAGATCTTATCAGTCTGCTCCCTAGTCTTACATCCAGGTCATTGATAAAGATGTTCAACAACACGGGACCTAGAACAGATCCCTGTGGAACCCCACTTGGGACCTCCCTCCAATCCCACATCGTTCCATTAACAGTTACTCGTTGTTTGTGGTTGTTTAACCAGTTACATATCCACTTAATGGTAGTTCCACCGAGCCCACATTTCTCCATAAGAACGGCCATACTGGGTCGGACCAAAGGTCCATCTAGCTCAGTATCCTGACTTCTGACCATGGACAATGACAGGCACCCCAGAAGGAATGAACAGAACATGATCCATCCCCTGTCGCCCATTCCCAGCTTCTGGCAAACAGAGGCTAGGGACACTATCCCTGTCCATCCTGCCTAATAGCCATCGATGGACCTGTCCTCCATGGATTTATCCAGTTCTTTTTGAACCCTGTTATAGTTCTGGCCTTCACAATATCCTCTGGCAAAGAGTTTGACTGTGCGTTGTGTGAAGTAATACTTCCTTACGTTTGTTTTAAACCTGCTGCCTATTCATTTCATTTCAGAACTCCTAGTTCTTGTGTTATTAGAAAGAGTAAATATTTATATATATATTATATACCTTATATGTATAGTTGGGATTATGTTTCAGAATGTGCATTACTTTGCATTTATTAACATTGCATTTCATCTGCCATTTTGTTACCCAGTCACCCATTTTTGTAAGATCCCTTTGTAGCTCATCGCAGTCAGATTTGAACTTAACTGCCTTCAGTAGTTTTATATCATCTGCAAATTTTGCCACCTCACTGTTTACCCCTTTTTCCAGATCATTTATCAATATCTTGAACAGTACTGGTCCCTGTACTGACCCCTAGGAGATACCGCTATTTATCTCTCTCCGCTGTGAAAATTGACCATTTATTCCTATCCTTTGTTTCCTATCATTTAATCAGTTACTGATCCAGGAAAGGACCTTCCCATTTATCCCATGACAGCTCACACTGCTTAAGAACCTTTCAGGAGGGACCTTGTCAGAGACTTTCTGAAAATCTAAGTACACTATATTGACTGGGTCACCCTTGTCCACTCCTTCAGAAAATTATAGTAGATTGGTGAGGCATGATTTCTCTTTACAAAAACCATGTTGACTCTTCCCCAACAAATCATGTTCATCTATGCATCTGATAATTCTGTTCTTTACTATAGTTTCAACCAGTTTGCCCGGCACTGAAGTTAGGCTTAGTGGCCTCTAATTGCCGGGATCACCTCTGGAGCCTTTTTCAAAAATTGGTGTCACATTAGCTATCATCCAGTCATCTGGTTCAGAAGCTGATTTAAATGATAGGTTACATAACAGAGTTAGTAGTTCTGCAATTTCACATTTGGGTTCCGTCAGAAGTCTTCTCCAGCTTACTTATGAGAATGTCATGTGGGACTGTGTCAAAAGCCTTCCTGAAGTCCATGTATATATGTGCACTGCTTTCCCCCTGCCACTAACCAGTTACCTTGTCAAAGAAGGAAATCAAGCTGGTTGGGAAGGATTTGTTCTTGGTAAATCCATGCTGGTGACCACCCCTTCGTCCTCACAAATTGAAGGTTTTATACGTTGCTGTAGTAGCTTTTCAGGTGTCGAGGTGAGGCTGACTGGTCTGTAGTTCCCTGGCTCCTCCTTTCCCCCCTTTTAAAGATGACCACACTGTTAGCCCTTCTCCCATCTTCTGGGATGTCTCCTGGCATCCATGAGTGGCTCCAAGATTTCTTCAACTAATTCCTTCAGCACCCTGGGTTGAACAGCATCCTGCCCCACTGATCTGAATTTATTCAAATTGGTCTGAACTTCTCTGACATGTTCTTTCCTTATCCAAATCTGCAACTCTTCCCCTTTGCTGTACGAGGTAACTTCGCTGGTCGCCCGCTCGCATGTTGTTTTTTGTGGGAAGACTGAAGCAAAGCAGGCACTGAGCAGCGCTGCCTTTCCACCATCTTCTGTCACCAGCTCGGGATTTTCCGGCTGATCTCATGATTCTGAGAGAAAATCACAGGGTTTTTTTTTTGCCAATTTATGGAATTTTTTAGCCTACGATCTCTCGGGACCGTCTGGTGACTTGGGGTGTCACTGCGCTGCCAGCAGCCTCAGATCAGATGCCTGCAGATCCTGGCAATATTGATGGTCCCCCAGGCAGATATGTCATCCCCCCCACAGCCTCCGCTTTCACAGTACCCACCCCCCATCTGTCTCTAGGTCTGTCCCAGACGGACACTGCACCCATGGGCAGAACCCTGCTGCCACAGCAGGAAGCTGGGGAACGGGACCACCCATCTCAGGGCACTCCCTGGAGAGGATGGGGTGCTGCCCCCCCCTGCAGCCACGCTGAGGTTCCTGATTCTCGTCCTGCTCTGGATGGGTAAGTAAGCAGCACCTGCAGCCCCAGTGCAGGGGGAAGGGCAGAACCTGCGCTAAGCAGGGCCAGGTCTGTCCCAGAACTTGAAAGGGAGACTGGCCAGAGGGGGAGGGGAGCCCAGTGCCCCAGTGTGGTGCTAGGGGGCGCTGAGGGACAGGGACCGGGCAGGGGGCTCGATGGAGGGAGGAATGGAAACTAAATGGAGTGAGAATTGGTCAAGGACCCAGGGCTGGGATCACATGGGGCTGCAGGTCGGGAGTGAGGGGAATCGGCAGAGCTGTGGGGTGCAGCTCAGGGTTGGTCTCTGCTCTCTATGGGTCCCAGTTCAATCCTTGTCTGTCCCTGCAGGGTCCCTGTCCCAGCTGCCTGGATTTACCCTGACGGTGCCGCAGTCGGTGTCAGTGCAGGTGGGTCTCTGCGTTCTCGTCCCCTGCACCTTCACATATCCAGCCTCGTATGACACCGACAATCCCCGGGCCCAGCTCTACAGATACTGGTACAAGGATCCAGCCGATGTGGGCCAGAATACACCTGTGGCCAGCAGTGACTCCAACCGGGGGGTGTCGCAGGAGACCCAGGGCCGGTTCCGGCTGGCGGAGAATCCGGCGCACGGCGACTGCTCCCTGCAAATCAGCGACGCCCAACAGACGGATGCAGGGAGATATTTCCTTAGAGTTGAGAAAGGAAAATTGAAATACAGTTACCGCTCCAGTGCCGATGGCACTGACTTTACGCTCACGATCTCCGTGCCAGGTAAGAGCAGCCGCAGTCACCACTCATCAGCCTCCTGAGCTAGCCAGTCCCCACCCTGGGGCCGGATCGGAGACGCTCCTCTAGAGGGGAAAGGCCCCGTGTCCCTGAGTGATTCTTTTCCCTCTCCCCATGTCTCAGGACTGACAGAGGAGCCAGAGATCCAGATCTCGCCGGCGCAGAGGGTGCCAGGGATGCTGCTGGCCGGGGAGCCGGTGACTGTGACCTGCACGGCCCCTGGGCGCTGCTCCGGGACCCCTCCCCGAGTCACCTGGACGGGGCCATTCAGCGACACAGCCCGGGATGTCTCAGTCCAGCTGGCGAACAGCACCTGGGCCCACAGCTCCATGCTCAGCTTCACACCCAGCCCGGGGGACCATGGCCAAGAGCTCGATTGCAGCGTCATCTACGGCCCAGCACAGGGACCTTCCACCAGCAGAACCATCCGGCTCCACGTTGGCTGTGAGTGACCCAACCAGCCCCTCCACACCGGCCCCCAGCTCCCTATGCTGGGATCCCCACCTCTGGGCTCCCCACCCCCCACCATGCACACTCAGCCAATTCTACTCCAGGCCCCTTCCCTCCACACCTTGCAGCCCCTTCTCCCTTGGGATCTTCACCCCTTTCTGCCCCCCTTGGTTATGGCTCCCCTCTCCCATCCACATCCCCAGGTCCCCAAGCCATTCTTTTCTGAGATCTTTTCTACCCCTGCCCTGCCCTGCCCCAGAATCCTCCTGTGCTGGGATCCAACCTCCCCAATTAAGTCCCCCCTTGCTGGGATTCCCCCCTCACAACAGTGATCCCAGGTCCCCCTGAGATCCCCCCGGGCTGTCCCACCGCGTCTCCTCCACTCCCTCCCTTTTCTGCCGGGATTGGTGGATGCTCTATATGGGGCAGAATTTTAATGACACCCAGACCCAGTCACTGTCCGGCAGTAAACATGCTCCAGACTCGGTGCCCAGAGACCTCAGCCCCCCCTGCTCCAGGGCAACCCCCGTTAAATGGCCCGTGACCCTTGCGCTGCAGATCCAGGGCAGAGGGAAAATCAGCGGCCGCCTTTGCGATTTGAAGGATCAAATCAGGCATCAGTGTAAGGACGGCCCTTGTTCCCTTCAGCCAGAGGGAGATTTAGAAGGAACTCGCCCCCTACCCACGTGTCTGAGCCCAGGCCCCAGCCTGATCCCAAATGTCTAAACAGGCCTAGGAGGAAACATCCGTGCTGCAATCAGAGACCCACAGCCTGAGCCCCGCGAGCCCGACCCAACGGAACCAGGCTCTGAGGCTCGGCCCCGCGGGGCTTTGAGGGCAGCGTGGACGGACCCTGCCAGGCCTGGCCAGCCAGTATCAGTGTCCGGCTGTTCTGCGTGTTACTTTTAGCCGCCGCTCTGGGCGCAGTCGGGCTGCAAAATATCCAGGCCTGGCAGGCCAAGCCCGTGGGCAAAAGAAGAGGGCTGGGGAGGGGACTTGGGTGGGGAGGCAAAGGACCCATGACGGGGTTGTCTGATGTATCTGGTGGTGGCTGGGTCTGGGGTGGGGGTGGGAGTGGGGTTATTTAGACCCCTGGCCCCGACCTTCCCTGGGGAGGACACGTTTGGGGAGCAGGACACTGAACACCCAGCAGACGGTGGCACCGAGATAGTGACGCTCGCTCCAGTATCCAGGCCTGAGCAGCCCGGCCCCTCGTTAGTGACTCCACCAATTAGGCCCAATTTTGACCCACCGGTCTCAGTCCCTTGGGTTTCCATTTCCCACAGTTCTGGTACCCCAGCACGGCCCTAACCCGGCCCCTGGGTTACGTCGGGCACCTCTTGGGTCGGGCGCAGTAGGGTCTGTCACTTCCCTTCCCCACCCATGGGTCTTGTGTCACTCCAGGGACTTTCCCGTCCCCCAGCTGAGCTCACAGTGATGGTCTATGTCTAGGCTCAGTGATCACTAGCGACACCCCCCACCCTGGTGCTGTCCAGCCCCCCGATCCATCTCTGTCTGGTTTGTGTTACAGACCCACCCAGGCCCCCCAACATCACCGGGACCCTGACCAGGAACGGACGCCCCGGTGAGAGGCCGCGCTGCGAGCCCCGGGAACCAGCGAGCGCCTCCTAGTCATGCTCTGCCCACGCTCAGGGCCAGGCGCCAGGCTCAGCCGGGCCAGGCTGGTCCGTGTCCGGAGGGGAGAGCCCGAGGAAGCTGCACGGCTGTTGGGAGGGTGGTGTGGGGAGCGGGCCTGGTTCCCTCAGTCTCCAGACCCCCAGACAGAATTAAGGGGGCGCTGGGCAATGGGGAGGAGATGGGTTATGGACTGATCTCTGCAACGGAGACCTACTGCCATGGAAAGGCACCGAGATTGTGCGCCCACCCCAGAGCTGGCTACGTCTCCACGCTGGGTGAGGGGTCTTTGTATAAACAGCCCCTGCACCCCACCCCAGAGCTGGCTGCATCTCAGCTCTCTGGGGCGGGGGCTAACCTGCCTGATCATCTCTTCCAGGGCCGGCCCCATTGGGAGCTGAGGGTGACGTCGTGTCTCTGGAGATCCAGGAGGGCGACTCCCTGAACCTGAGCTGTGAGGCTTCGAGCAGACCCGAGGCCACCCTGAGCTGGGCCAAGGGGAACGAGTCCCTGAGCTCCAGACAGGGAGGGGACGGGCATCTGGAGCTGCCGAATCTCAGCAGAGGGGACGCTGGGGAGTATCGGTGCTGGGCAAAGAATTCCTATGGGTTGGCCAGCCGGGCCCTGAATGTGGACATGCAGTGTAAGGAGTTAGGGGGTGCCAGGCCACAGGGAGGGGCCTCAGTGGAAGGTGCTGGGCTGCAGAGGGGAGGCGGGGGCTCTGTTGGGGGCACTGGGTTGCATGGAGCAAGGCAGGGGGTCAGTAGGGGGTGGTAGGCTGCAGGGAGCAAGGCAGGGGGTCAGTAGGGGGCTTTGGGCTGCAGGGGGTGGGCGGGGGATCCATGGGGGGTGCTGGGCTGCGAGGAGGGGCAGGGGTTCATTGGGGGGTGCTGGGCTGTGGAGCAGGGGGTCTGTATGGGACTCTCTTCAATCTAATACGTTGCATGGGTATTTCAGCTCTAGAGAGGACTCTGCAAATCACCGTCTCCCGAGCTAACAGGAGCGACCCCCAGCTATTCCAAGGTATCTCTAGGGGGTGGGGAGTGGGGCACGGGGCCTTTCCCCTCTAGGGGGTGCCAGCCCCGATCCAGCCCCTGGGCAGGGACTGGCTGGCTCAGGGTGCGAGTGGCTCTGTGTTATTTCTATTCCCAGATCCCGACACCCTGGTGGGGAACGGTTCACAGCTCACGGCCCAGGAGGGCGACTCCCTACGGTTCCTCTGCTCCGTCGCCAGCAACCCCCCCGCTGCGCTGGGCTGGGTGAGGCGAGCCGTCGAGGGCACCCACCCCGTGGGGGAGAATCAGCTGCGGCTGGAACTGCCCAACGTAACGGCCGAGGACGGGGGGCTGTACGGGTGCTGGGCCCAGAACAAGGAGAGCTCTGCCCAGGGGACATTCCAGCTGCTCGTCGAGTGTAAGTGGAGTTAATCTGCGGGACTCCCTGCGACTGGGTGTGAGTGGGGTAAACCTGTGGGTCTTTCTGCCACTGGATATTAGTGAGGTTAATCTATGGGACTCCCTGCACCTGGGTATTAGTAGGTTTAACCCATGAGTTTCCCTGCCACTGGGTTTCTCTCTCTGACTATTGTCGCTGTGTCTCCTGCTCTCTCCAGACAGCCCTCGGCCAGGGACTGGGCTGAACTCGTCCTGCCAGCGCCAGAGGCCCAGCGTCAGCTGCAGCTGCTCCCTGCGCTCCCACCCCCCACCTCGGCTCCAGTGGCAGGTGGACGGGGAGCCCCTGGCTGGGAACGTCTCACGGGGGGCCCTGCAGGTCAGCTCGTGGGCCCAGGGGGACGAGGCCGTCAGTACCCTGAGCTGAATGGAGAGCGTGGATGGAGGCCACCAGATCTTTTGCCTCGGCTCCAACCCCTACGGGTTCCTTATTTTACTGCTGAGCCCACCAGAAATAGGTGAGAGTCCTTCCCCTCTAGGGGACACCAGCTCTGTCCTGGCCCCAGGGTGGGGGATTGGCTTCCTCTGGGGGCAGGGAATGCAGCACGGGGCTTTTCTGCTCTAGGGGGCGCCGTTTCTGACCCATACCCAAGGCAGGGACTGGCTGGCCCAGGGGGCTGAGAATTTCCTTTCTAGTAGGCATTGGCTGTCCCGATTTTATAGGGACAGTTCTGATGTTTGGGTCTTTTTAGTATATAGGCTCCTATTACCCCCCCCCCCCGTACCGATTTTTAACATTTGCCTGGTCACCCTAGCTGGCTCATGGGGCTGGGAATTTCCCCTCTAGGAGGCACCAGTTCTGACCTAGCCCCAGGGTGGGGGCTGGCTGGCTCGGGGCAGGGGTTGCAGGGATCTATCCCAGACTCTCAACTTCTTCTAGCTCCATCAGATGGCCTCACTCGGGCATTTATCGAAATCAGCTGCAAACTCGTCTTCATGGCGACTGGATTCTTCCTGGCCTATTACCTCACCCTGCTCTATTACAGATGGTAACTCAGCTACCGACCCACCTATCTACCCACCTACCCATATACCTACCCACCAATCTACCCACCTACTACCCTGCCTAGCTCTCTACCAACTAACTTACCATCCTACTCACCCACCCACCTACCATCCCATCCACTTACATACCCATCTTCCTACCTATATAACCATTGACTCACCCATCTACCTACTACCCCGCCTAGCTACCAACCCATTGACCCAACCAACCACTGATCTACCCACCTACCTCGTATCTCTCTACCCACTTACCCAACTAACTAACTACCCACCCACCCACCTATGTACCCATCTACCCACCTACCACCAGGTCTAGCTACCTATTCACCCTCTCAACCATCTACCTACGCACCTATCATCCCACCCATCTATCTATTCCAACTGCCAGCCATGAATTGGCCTTGTTAGCACTACAAAGAGTAATTTTCCCTCTGTTGATATTAACCCTTTCTTGTCAACTGTTGAGAATGGGCCTCATACACCCTAATTGAATTGTCCTCATTAGCACTGACCCCCCACTTGGTAAGGCAACTCCCATCTGTTCATGTACTGTATATTTTCCACTCCATGCATCTGATGAAGTGGGTTATATCCAACGAAAGCTTATGCCCAAATAAATCTGTTAGTCTCTAAGGTGCCACAAGGACTCCTTGTTGTTTTTACTGTTACAGACTAACACGGCTACCCCTCTGAAAGCTAATGTACCCCAGAATCTCTCTTTCTCTCTCTCTCCCAGGAAACCCTTCTGCTGTCGTGGAAGCAGAAGGAAGGACAGGCCGGGTGCCAGGGAATACATGTTGCCTGAATCCGGCGTGTAGATCGGGCTGTTCCTCAGCCACCAGAGAGACGACAAGGATCTGGAATGTCACGAGACTGAGAAAACGGAGAATGAGACCTCAGCTGCAGGGACTGCCACCCGGGTGAGGACAATGGACCGTTTAGCCCAGTATCCCGCTCCCTCCCTACCCCTCCAGCTCAGACCCATGGGCCTGGGAAGCACATGGAAGCTGCCTGTAATATTTATATGACAAGTAGATAATCTGTTTGTTGCCCTGATGGTTATGACCAGGGCCAACCTTAGGGAAAATCGCACCCTGGCTGAACTTGTATTTCATCACCCCCTCCCCCATCACTCCTGCCCCCCACGGGCTCCCTCAGCCTTCCCCCACCCCATCATCTCTGGGCCCTGTTGCCCCCCACAGTGTTTAATTTCTATTGAAAGAGATGCCAGAGCTCAGCTGTGGCTCAAATTAAGCCTGGCAGGTTGGCCTGATACTGGCGGGAGCTGGCCGGGCACCCAGCTCTGAAGGCAACGCCACCACCAGCAGCAGTGCAGAAGTCAGGGGGACCCGGCACATGGTGTATTGCCACCTTTCTGCACTGCTGCTGGGGCTTGTGGTGCCTGGTGCTCGGCATGTGGCTCAAGGCTTCGCGCTGTCACACGTGGGCTGCATCTCGCCAGAGCCCATGGCCTCCTGGAGCCCTCCGGCCACTCCTGGCTCACCCGGGGCGGGGGCACCAGTTCAGATTTGGGGTGGGGGTGGCAGGAAACTTTAACCATTATTCCAGGGACTATTTAGGCACCTGAAAACTCTCGGGTTTTTTTCAAGATAAAAATTTAGGGATTAGCCGACAGGAGCACTGTATCTAATTGTTATATAAAGAAAGAAACAATATATACAAACGCCAGTTAAAGTCATGTTTAAAGTTTATATGTAAATTTAGAACAATCAGGAGATAATACAGCAAGATATTCCGAATCCCAAGCCTTGAGGTATCAGTTCTGGAGCTTTAACGCAGATATCAGAGACACACATTTCATACTTTGCACACTATCTTTAGTAGAGATAAATAAAAATAAATAAAATCTCCTTACACAGACACACTGTTTTACTGCCATTATCTCCTCTATTTTAGTCAATTGTTTTTCACTAAAAACATAATTTTAACATATGTGATTAAGGTTTTTTTCTCTTTTATTAAGAAAGGGAATGAATTTTTCTAATTCTTTTGGCATTTCTGTTTACTGACCACAATCATGTATGTGAGTCACTAACATTTGACTCCATCATTGCTATTGGTATCATAGTTCTAACTGCTTTAATTTTCATGCAAATTAAATGAATTTACAGATATAACTAAAAATACAATTTCAAAAAAAGCGACTTTCATCTGCCCACTGTCTAAAGTTGTGTTTAGCTAATGTTTTTTAAACTGGCATTACTAAAGTGAGTACAAGCTAAAGCTCCATTCTAGGAGGATACTATTATTTGATTGCACCACTTTAAATAATGAATGACAAAGCACAATATGTTAATAACCGTAATAATGATCATTACTGCATCCAGGACAGGTTAGGCCGTTTAGAACTCACTACTCAAAAAATTCAATGTAAGCATAAGAGAGAAATAAAATTATGAAATGCAGAGACCAGTCAAAAAACTCAAATAACGGCACTTTGAAAGAATAAAATTCCAGAGAATATATGTGCATTGCAGGAAGAACCAACAAGTAACACCAACAATATAAATATATGTTGGGGGGTGCTGAGTGTGAAAGAGACAGTGTGTGTGAGCTGGGAGAGCGGCACTCAGCAGTCTGAACAAAAGCTTCTTCAGACACTACAGCAGCTGCCAGCAGCTCCATCCCTCTCTCTCCGTGAGCCCTGTCCACCCACCCCACCTGCTCTGCGGAGATGGGGTACATGGGGGGGTCAGGGAACAGCCTGACATCAGAGCCCCTCCCCCCTGCTCCTTACAGCAGACAGGAATCTCCAGGGAGCAGCTGGCCAGAGGCCACTGCAAGGCAGTGGGCAGGACACCAGCAGTGGGGGGCACCCCGCTCCAGAGGCACCCCTGTGACGTTGCACTCCAAAAATGCTTTAAAAAAACATGTTTATAAGTGTGAATATAATTTAACTGTAATATGCTTTACGCAAAAGATCTCTTGTAAGGTATCATTATAAAGCTTATAATCTACTGTCTTCATTCTATTTGTATGAATGCATCATTCTTGTACCTGAATCTAGGAATAGGTAGCATAACTCAGAGGTCCTATTGTAATTATGCAAAGTGTGGGCCATTAATGTTGGTTAGAATCTTGATGGCTCCCATTGACTAGGACAATTGACTCTAGATGGCTTTGTTTACCTGAACATCTCCACTGCATGCCTGTGGGCTAGTCCTGGACAAATGGAGTGGGGCTTACAGGAAATGTGATCATGTCACCTGAACTGGAATCCATCTTTAACCTGGTGCTTTTCCATTTAGAAGGAGGGGTGGGAACCCAGAGAGAGACAAAATATTCCCCTCTTGTGCCAAAGATATAAAAGGAGGTGGAACAGAACAAAGGAGGCTGCCGGTCATGAAGAAATCCTCTAGTTACCACCTGAGCTGGAATTAACAAGGATTGTACTAGGGGAAAGGATTGGGCCCAGACTAGGAAGGAGTCTAGTCTGTGAAAGAAGCTTATTGGAACATCTCTCAGGGTGAGATTTACCTGTATTCAGTTTATTGATGTATTAGGCTTAGATTTGCATATTTTGCTTTATTTTGCTTGGTGACTTACTTTGTTCTGTCTGTTATTACTTCAAACCACTTAATTTCTACTTTTTATACTTAATAAAATCACTTTTGTTTATTAATTAACCCAGAGTAAGTGATTAATTCCTGGGGGAGCAAACAGCTGTGCATATCTTTCTATCAGTGTTAGAGAGGGCAACAATTTATGAGTTTACCCTTTATAAGCTTTATACAGAGTAAAACGGATTTATTTGGGGTTTGGATCCCATTGGGAGCTGGGTCTCTGGGTGCTGGAGACAGGAGTATTTGCTAAGCCATTTGCATTTAAGTCTGCAGCTTTGGGGGCATGTTGAAGCAAGCTAGCATGTCTGGCTCAACAAGGCAGGGTTCTGAAGTCCCAAGCTGGCAGTGAAAATGGGCTCAGAGGTAGTCTCAGCACATCAGGTGACAGTCCCAAGGGGGTCTCTGTGACAGAACCCATCACAGCCCCGTTCACCCATGGCTAAGGCTGGCCCTGGATGACTGTGTTTGCTCTGTGATCACCACAAGGTGCTGAGATATCCTGGTGAAGACCGCAGTACAATGCCCTCTAGCGCAGTGGTTCTCAAACTGCATCAGGACCCCAAAGTGGGTCACAGTCCCATTTTAATGCGGTCACCACGGCTGGCTTAGACTTGCTGGGGCACAGGGCCAAAGCCTGAGCTTTACTGTCTGGGGCTCCGGCAGGCTCAGACTTCTATCCCTCCTCCTGGGGTCCTGTAGTAATTTCTGTTGTCAGAAGGGGGTCATGGTGGGATGAAGTTTGAGAACCCCTGCGAGAACACAGCAGATCAGCTAATGCTAGTTACTGATTCTTGCAAGGCAACACCCAACCCAGCAGCTCTCATGGTCAGTCCCAGCCAGCGCGGGGAGAAATTTTCACAAACTTTTTTCGGTGAAAAATGCAAATTTGGCAACACCAAAACTTTATGTGAATCTGGTCAATTTTGCCAAATTGTTTGTTTCGGGGGGAAAAAAACAACCAAAATCACCCAAAGTCGAAATACTTCATTTAGGCATTTTCAAAAAGAAACGTTTCACCTTTCTCGATTCAAAATCATTGTATGGTTTGAAATTTCCTGACATTTTACTTTGTAGTTAAAAAACATCTAAAATGCTTGATCAAAAGAAAATATTTCATTCTGAAACCAAATCTATTTCTGACCTTCTGGTTCACTGAAAATTTTGACCAATTTTGATTTTTGGTATAAAGTGAAAAGATTTCCCCTCCCCCCCCCCTCAAAATTAATCAAATTATGCTTTCAGATTGACCCCCAAATATTTTTTTCAAATGTTTGGTTCAGCAAAAACGTCAACAATTTTTCTTTTTGTTTCGACCCAAACCGTTTTCAGTTTACCAAAAATTTTGACAATTCCCACCCCCCCAAGCCATTAGCCCCATAGGGAATGTGCCACTTTTCCCATCTTGTGGGTGATGGCTTGGATCCAGCCCCAGTGTGGGGGACCAGCTGGCTCAGGTGGCAGAGGTGGGATACTTGTGATGATGAGCAGACACCCACCCAGGCTTACACTGATACTGGGACCCTCAGACCCAGGTCTGGGCTGTGAGGAAAGAACCCTGCATAGGAAAGATAGGATGGGAGGGGCAGGCCGTTCTGGAGGGAGCCACCAGATGGCGCAGTTACACAAAGCCAGACATAATCTTAGCATGAAAGTAAGTGTTCAGTTTTTGAGAAATGCTGAATCCATTGTGTTCAATATTTTTATGTAGGTAAATACCTCTCTCTGTGTATATGTATGTGGGTGTGTGTATCTATATCTATATCTACTATATATACACAAAGTATAGATAGACTATATATCTAATTATGCTCAATTTTATGTTATTGTAATTATATATATATACATATATAGATAGATAGATAGATATAGACAGTGCACACACACATACACTGGATATATTCATATATTGACTCTTAATTTAGGATACATTTTATATAATGATGCTAATTTTGTTTTGTTTGTTATATTAAAATTATTACACCAGATCTCGGTTGTGTCACAGACTCCCAGGCCCTGGGCTCTCTTGGCTCTGTATGGTCCCTGGGAGGACCCCCCTTCAGTGTGACAGTCCTTCTCGGGGTCACACACACTCTGGCAGGTTAAAACCTGGGCTCCAGTGCCTCCTGGTATGGCACCTCCCCGAGCCTTCGGCCTGACGGTCTTTGACATGGGCCCCCTCAGGGATTCCCCTCGCTCTGCACCCCCACGGCCTCCACCCCCAGAGAGAGCAATGCCCCCCCCCAATTTCTACCCTGCAGTGACTCTCAGCCAGCATAACACAGGAGGTTTGAGTGTCTGAACCCAGCACAGGCAGTTCTCAGGGCCCTTGGGCCTCA